CTAAGGTTGGGATATCCGACTAATTGGTCGGCAACAAAACCAGCAAAGTAGGCTAGCTCATCGTCGTGTCTGTTTCGGCAGTTCTTGCAAGCTTTGACTCAGCTTGTGTGTGAGCTAAGCGCGCTTGAACTTGATGATGTAGGCGAGCAGTGAGATCAGATTAAGCGAGTAACGCATTCCGTGACTCAGAGCCTCGAAACCTGCCGGAGGCATTGGATATCTCATGAGTCATTGCCCCTGACGGAGAGAGCGATAAATCCCGACCTGTTAGAATCAAAACAGAGTTGGTGGCACCTACAATGTCAACTCAAGAAGAATCGTGAAAACTAGTGGTCAAGAATAGCTGGTTAATTTGAAGTAGTAGATGTATCAAGGAATGGTCGAAGACTGTTACGACTGATACGCATGTCAGAAAATATGCTGCCACAGCGATCGATGTTTTGCTAAGGCAAGTAGTAGATGGAAAAAAGCCAAGGATGGTCAACTTAAGACCTGGCACGAGGCTATGAAAATCCTAACCAGGGGACTGGGTGACACGGGTCCCGTAGGCTCCCTGGCGGGGGACCTCGGGATAACTGTAACCGATGATTAGAAACATTGAGTGATATGGTTGAGTGTCGTAAACAGTGGCGTTTTCATTCATCTCAATTTCTTCGCAACCTTGGTCCACTGAAATTCTCCATTTTCTATTCGACTCTACTTCCGACTTTCCTGTCTTCCTCGTACTGTTCATCCAATTGAACCACCAAAAGACAGCAACCCAAACCGGTGCACAAATGTGCATGGTTAAGGATTGAACTGAACTGAAAGAATACGGGAGGTTGGCGAACTCCAGTTAGTGAAACCGTCTGCGATAAGAGGGGACGAGCTATTCACAATAGAGATTAACGACTTGATCGCTGGGCGGAATACTTCAGCTAAAAGTTCAACTGGCGCTAGCCAGGTAACTTCATCTGCAGCTGAAGCTCTGAGGGCAGTGACGTGCGATCCCCAGAAGCGGAAGTTCGGTCTTGCATGGAAGCTGTGAAGCGAGGAAAGGCAGGAGGGCCGGATGGGCTTCTTTCCACTCTTCAAGATAATGGGTGATAACCTCGTAAGCTCTATTACTACCTCACTGCACATTGGGACGCAATAGCTCATTCCTTTATCTTGTAGTGAACCACTGATTGTTTCCATTTTCAAGAAGAAATCTCGCGACGATCGCAGGGTAAGTCTCATCCCAATCACTATCAATATTGTAGCCTTCATAATAATTTGACGTCTGACTCCTTTAAAAGAGACCAACATCCATGAACAGCCACCCGGAATCTGCGTTACACCCACCGTCAACCAAAGATCGCAGTGTTCCTTAATCTGAAAGGAGCCTTCGACTCAGTTGACCGCGAAGCTCTGATGGGTTCCCTTCGAAAAGGAATGCCCCAGAAGTACGTTAACCTACTGAGGTCACTGTACTCACATACCTCCGGTCGTGTAAGGGTCTACAACGAACTAAGCAGGCTGTTTGTCACCAGCAGCGATGTTCGTCAAGGGGGCCCTCTTCCGCCATTCCTGACCAATTTCGTCGTAGACGAAATACTGGAGAGCGCACTAAGGGGACTCCAAAACGTAGGTATTGAATGGACAACTGGAGGAAACCTGTGCGATTTAGAGTATGCTGGTGACATCGTCTGTCTGTTCGAATGTTTGGAGGACGCGCAAAGCGCACTTGATAGACTAACAAGTACTGTTGCAACATTCGGTATTTTGTTTGCAAACGTTTCATCACCAGCTGAGGTGACATCATCAGTGCTTGTGAAGTGGCTTTGCACTCTCAAAGTGCAAAGTGATGCAGGCTTCGCTGGCTAGGGCACTTATTGTGTATGCCTAATTGTGGTCCACCACATCGCACCTTATTCGGTGTAGCCCTCCGGGCTGGAGAAAACCACTTGGAGGTCAACAGATGACATGCAGCGGAGGCATGAAGGAGTACACAGCCGTTGGGTATTGTAGGTGTCTTACACCTACGTTGGGGTCCGAAAGACTCTGTAATTGATTGGTTGGAGACATTGAAAAATATGGCAGCAAACCGACGGCAGTGGCGTTCTTGTCAATTCTTACCAGTCCAGAATGCTTTTAAGCATAGTTTCTGTGTTAGTGTAACCACGATTTGATCATGCTCCCAACCACACGAACTGGGGAAGCAGTAGTAAAAGAGAGGAGACACGTTTTGTTATTTGGGCAGTTGTGTCGCGTCTGATAGACGTATCATAAGTAGTGTTGTCATACATACGGAAAACTCGGTTGACATTTCAGTTTCAGTTTTTACAATCATCAACCATTACAATCATTATAATTATTAACCGTTGGCGACTACCAACTTCATACATCCATGGTACTGTCACGAAATCTAGTTATCTGTGAAGGATCAAGTGTATGCTGCAGTAGTTCGGTCAGTGCTGCTTTTTGGTACAAAGATTTGACCGCTACGGAGACTGAATAAGGATATACTATCTGTGTTCAAAAACCGTAACACAGTCCTTTGAAAACGGAAAATTTTTCAGAGTATATTACAGAACTTGCGAAAGATACTTCTGTAATCCTTAACACCTAGTTCGATATTGACTAAATCCCTTCACTTTCTGTTCTGCAATAAGTTCTTTTGCCGCCTTTACACTGGCTGTTTGGTGCAACAATGAGGTATACGTCGAACACGGTTGCTGGCACCAAGATGAAGTTGCAAAGTTCCGCCTATAGCTGTCTCAATTAAAAGCCTCGTTATGGTCGGGAGTGGATGTTTCCGATCGTGGCTGGTCACCCCTCAGTTGCACTTCGTAAAATGCTCTCATACCATCAAGCGTCTCAAACAGCCTCTACTGAGGAAGCTCTACTCACTGCATATTCGTGACGGAGATGTTTTCCCACCGAAGTGAGCGGACGAAAAGCCAATATCCGGCGCTATAACCGGGTCGGTGAACCACTGGCAGTTCACGTAGGGGAGTTGGCTAAAATCCCTGATTGCAAGCCACCCAAGAAGAGGTGTACGGACCACACCCACCCAACTTTTTGGTTGTGGCAGTGGTCACTGGCTCGATTGGACATCGAGGTGTATTGGGCACATTGGACGTTTGATCCTGTCCAAATTGTGTATGATCCGATGAACGGTACAATTATCCCCAATGGTTTGCGGTTTTCACACATCGCCCCGCTGCCTTGCGGGTCAGGATTTGGTTAACCGGAGGCTCCGGTTGTGAATTCCTCAAGAAAATTCACCTGCTTTCCTTGGGCAACCTAGGAGTATCGCGCCCACGAGCGAATCGTGGACCTTTCTTCTTTTTGTAATGGTTATCGTACCATGATTTTTTTGACAGTTTGGCTTTATATATATATAAATATATATATATATCATTAGTGGCAAGCATAACCGTTTGCGACACCCAATCGTGTGATTCACCCTTATTCGTTGATTGAGTTGCTCGCGAGGTTTTTATCTGAGTAGTCTTACGCAAATTGTATGACCATGTCTCTAGGTTTAGTCATGACCTTCTTCCAACCCGTGATTTGCTCGGAAAACATCCCGGATTGGATGAGCCCATCTACGGACATGTCAAGCTCTTCGGCTAGGGCCTAACCGCAATTAACCATCACTACCCAACCTCGACATTATTTATGTAATTGTTTCGCTGGATTCGTGCAATGCTGCAAAAATAGCGATATTTGATCACTGACAGTCTGCCTGCGTCTCCCTCCCACTTAAACTGAAGTACTTGGCACTAACAGTTTATCCCTGCACTACTTTTCGTTTCACAAAAATAGAGTTGCAGCAAGTAACTAAAACGGACAAATCTAGTTCAGAACAGCTCTTTCCAATTGTTTGTACTGTTACAGACCAACTAGTCGCTCCCGAAAACCGAGACGTTTGTAATTGACACGTATTTTGTTCAATTTTCATGATGACTGCTACTGAACACCAAGAAACATCTAAGGAGCGTACTCATCGTTAGTAAACACGGTGAACGTGATCCATGGTGAACCAGATATGTACAATGATGATGCGATAAATGGTCACAAAGTTTAGCGTCCATATTCTAGGGCAACTGCTCAGTTGTGTCGAAAAATATCTACAGATTGTCCCATTTTATAGATACCGTTAGAAAGCGTGCTAACTGAACCCTATTGGGAAAATTTTTATTCCACACACGACAATCCGAAGCCTTTTGAATGATAGAGCAATTCGAAACGCTTTTTCACCACTGTTATGCTACACTTGAGTAGGATATGTCCCTTTCTTTCTTAAGACATCCGTGGCACCGTCGCGATATCCGGCTGTCTGTGAAGAGTCGAGTATGTGCTGCATCAGTTAGGCCAGTCCTGTTATACAATGCAGATACTTGACCATCACGTCAGCGATGTTCGAACACCGCTGTATACACCTCATTACACGAGTTTGGTGGGTAAACCGGACAAGCGATACTGAGTAAAGACCAAGAGTTTCGGGTAGTCGCGTCCATCCACCAGAACAACTGGTTGACCTCCATAGACTACGGTGGTTAGGACATGTGTTGTACATGTCCTCAAATCGGTTGCCACGGAGCACAATGTTTTCCGAGGTAGGAAGCGGTTAAAAAAGGGTCAAGGGCGGGCANNNNGAAAACCGGGACATGAGGTCACAGGTGCTGTTAGGCTCTCTGGCTGGGTGCTTCGAGATCATGGTAACAGGTGGTTAGAGATACTGAGTGATATGGCTGGGTGCTCATGCATTTACTTGTAATTCTCGCAATCTCAGTCTAAGTGAGTTATCCGTCTTCTCTTTAACTTTGCTCTCAACATTCCAATCTTAATTCTGCTCTTCTACACAAATGAGCAACCAAAACCGGCCCATGAAAATGCATGGTTGATGGTTGTGAAAACTGAAACTGAAGCCTTTCTTTGCCTATTTGAAGTGTTGGTTCACACGTGACTAGGATCTGATCTAGAAATACTTTAGATGATTAATCAGCGTCTCGGTTTATCTTGTGATCGCTATGAAGTCCAGGCTGTTGTCAGTAAGCACGAACGCCTCTGACACCTCTGACTTGTAGCCTCGGGTAGGACTGATGCATAGTGCTACTCCTCATAAAACTTTACGTTCTCAGATTCCTGTGTATCGGTTATAATTGTTTGAGGCATTTTTCATGGCATCGCGTTGCAAGTAGTGACGCGTTATAACGTCGGGCATTGTCTGCATCTGGTCATCTAACTGAGGTATTCACAGGATACTAATTCTGAAGGCTTCGTACTGTCGATGCCTGTCCACTATTTGTTCAGTCACTTGTTGTTTGCATCCCCTAAGAGAAGCATCATAATAACAGATAAAGCGAAGAAAAAAATGAGGACATTGGTCATGGTCACTCCTGTATTGTTCGAATGAAACCATAGGCGTGTTCAGTACCCTCGGTTAAACATTTCCGACTGCTGAAGTTTAAGTGAAATCTAATGCTTGCGGGGTCTATTCATCATGTGGCTGACTCAAAAAATTATATACATTTATCGCTTACCTCATTGTCTGTTATCAGGACAAAACATTCTAAACAAGTCACGACTAAATTTGTGAATCTTTTCTTTGACTTTCACTTAGCATTCAAACGCAATCGAACGACTAGAACGCACGTTGTCCGTGTCAGGCTACCATTTTGTGAAGTCGGATGCAGAACTTCCTCTCCATGAGATTGGTGGTCAGTGGATAGAACAAGCACCTGGAGTAGATCGTAGCAGGACCTCATCGTTCGGACCGCTTACCTCACCGAGCCACAACCGCATTTTCACGGCTGCCTCCGGTTTGGGCCATGATTTGCGACCTCCAATCAATCCCTCGAACTCACTGGAAGAAGATCCGGAGGGTTCATCCAACACTAGCGGTAGGCCTTTTTACTATTTTCACTGAAAAAGAGGTCATCATTACATTTCTTTCCTTGTGTTTTCTTATCTAATTGGAACCGAAAAGTTCAACCATTGTTTAACCATCACGACGAGACTGTACCTTGGCTTGATAAGATGCTTTGGGATTCTCAATAGATGAATTCGCTTAAACCGAGAAGTTATTTGGATCTGAAAGATCGGAGGGTAAGTTTCATACAACTTCCAGTCTGTTGGCCTTCCAGGTTTGAGTGTCCGGTTGAAGCGATTAACAGCGTTGCACAGGGCCTAGCTACGACCCTGATACCAAACACTCATCCCACTTCTTGAAGTTGTACAGTCTTTTAAATAGCTCCACAATAGCATGGTAATATATATATATATATATATATATATATATATATATATAATCGAAAACCGATGTTCGTGGTTCTCAGGCTGAATTTTTGGAAATTGGCTTAAACGAAAGAGTACGAATGCTAAATGTTATTGATTCCACCATAGGAAAGCACGCAACGCACTATCACTTACTCTGTTCACTACACTGTGGCGTTCATCATCATTATAAATGAATCGTAAATTGCCCGCGATATACGAATCATGGTCAATCAGGAGATATTTGCGTAAAAATAGTGATGGCCTGTAGGAAGGATCCTTAACGTTTTAAGATTTATTCTTGTGGTAACAGTGATCGTGTGGTATGGTTTACGTGCTCGTCGTCGTGGATTTCATGTCAGAACTTTGTTACCACTATACTATGACTCCCTTTTGGTAATTAATCTTTGATTGTCCATCACCAAGTTCCTATAAGCTATTGTGCATTCATTGTGTCTCAGATACATAGCAGTAAAAGTACTCTTCTTGTCCTTATTTGTTGCAAATGTTTACGCCTTTGTTGAGTTCAGTTTCTCCTGGAACCGAGCATTTTTGTGTGGCAGTTTTGGTTGCTGTCTTTTGGACGTTTGTTATCAAGCCGGTATGAAATATATAAAAAATATGTAAGAGGGTTCATTCAAGTAAGAGCCGATTTGTTGATCCTGGTTTTCCAAAGAGAGGGTTACAAGTGGTTGGAAATACGAAAATAGGAAGGGTGTTCCACAATTTCNCCTGGGGAGAAGACTGGAAGATAAAATTCCGACATCTGCTAACAGAAACTCGGTAAGACTGACTGCCCGCCTGAGATCAAGTTCGATGAGAAAAGGACGAAGGTAAAGGGAACGGCTGAAGCTAGTCCAGAATAGCAGAAATCGAAATCGTAACGGTAGAACAGACAACAAAGTAACTGCCCTGTGATGGAAAGTGACTGCTAATTCGAAGTTAAAAACCGTTCGTTAATCAGTTAGATGACCTTATGTTGAACCCATCCGAGAAGAGACAACGAGATGCGAATCTCCACCCCATACGTAACTGCGGTATTCGAGCATCAGGCTGATTCGAACCTTGTATGAAAACAGGTGGGTGGGTTTAAAGAAGCACCTGGTTCAGAGTAGTGAACCGCCTTTGCGCGCAACGCGAGTGGCGAGTGTGTATATAGAAGGAAACCAGCAGAGAGAAGAATTTATGGATAAACCCTGGAGAAACAGAACTTGTGGAACAAAGGGGAAGCGAGTCAAAAATCAATTTGGAAAGAGGAACATGTTTAAGAGGGATTAAAATAAGAGAAGTTTTGGAAATGTTGAGGTACATATGGTCTGGTCTCATCCGCATGATTGCAGGGAAAACTATGGGCTAAATTTCAAATGTGGTTCGTGATGTTATACCCAGTTGTAACTGTTTGGACAACAAAAGGACGGCACGTATGACTATATATTATTGCAAAATTTATACCACATACATGAAGGTTTCGTTGTTCTCTGGTCAACACTGTCGGATCATTGTACCACAGCAGCGCAGATACGGATAAGTTCACTTCGATGCTCTAACGGTGGTGGCCCGGTGGTAATGTCACAAAATCATCACCTCAGGGGACGTGTGTTCAAATCCTACCACCACTACCTAACTTTCCCCATTGTGTTGAATGGCAGCCCTTTGATTGACCGCTTCCCCTTCTCTGAAAATTGTATCATTGCGTATTCAATAAAAGCTACTAAAAATGAAAAAGAAACCAATGTCGATACCATCTTATGACTTCTAATGTATGTCGCGTGCCGCTTCCGAAGTGGGATGTGTAGTAGACAGCTTCTGGTATCGAAATCTACGGACCGAACTACAGAACTATTGCCCTAACAGAATGTATTTCGCTCTCGTGACTATCTTCTACAAAATGGATACTAAATTCATGTGTCTATAGAGTTTATCAGCTTTTTTATTGTTTATAATGCGGTGCATATTGAAAAAGGTCATCCATTTCTGTGCACTCGTCAGTGCAAATTTCTCCTGATTTCATCGTGGCAAATGCGGATCAAGGTGCTTTTCAATGTTATATCCGAACGCTAGCGAACCCGAAATATTGAATGACCTGACCATATTATTCTTGTGCATGCACATCTCGGTTCATCCTACCTGTGTGACAGAATAGACAGTTCAACGGGCCTTATTTCTGTCTAAACTTATTCGGCTGATTACCCGAAGGTATGGTGCAGAGGTCCTTACCAGGAAGCCCAACATACTTTGTGACCACACGCATCGCGTCTGATGCAGAATGTGTTCGCCTTCACTCGTGAACCAACGCGTATGTGCATTAGTGTGTGCGCACACCCGCCTGACGGCGCGCTCGTCCGTTCGCGCTCAGCTGATAACCTTAGTGCCGGTTGTCTCGTCTTGTTCGTTAGCCGGACGCGTATCGATCAGTTTTGGCTATTTCTGTCGTTTGGATTGCGTGGTCCACGTACCCAGGATTCTATGCAATGGAACGATCGAGTGCATGTGCGCGGGATCTGACTTGGTGGAGAGAAAAAACAGGGAGTCCTGTGAACTACGAGATGGTCTTATACGAATCAATGCCACGTGACACAAACTAACGTGCTTTCAAGCTTAGTCACATGCGAATTAGGATTGTTGCATAAAGTTGGATGTTAGTTCATCCGCCTGCAGTGCTTATGGTGCGATACAGTATTTTCCATTGTTATTATCATTCACTAATCCACTATATCGAATACGACAGATTACTGATTTTCCACGCTCGACTATCTCTGCTTTCCGCGAAAAAAAACAACAAAAATAGCGACTGATATGGTTGCGTTGAAATTTCTCTCGTGTAAGATTTCACGTCAAGATTGCAGGGTAGTAAGTTTCGTGGAATCCGATCTATACAATCTTATCTTGATATTCTTAATATTCGATGCTCATTACTGCTGAGAATTTAATCCCACTTAAGCCAAATCTATCAGATTTCCGCTCGGTCTTTGCAACTATTGACATTGTACTTTGGCTCGTCGGTTTTGATTGCTAATCAGTGGTGGAGTAGAGGAAGGAGTTAGGAGGCTTAAAATTACAATGATAGAGAATGTAGTTGATCAAATTCTGGACGAAATTGAGTGAATAGATTAGGGCCATTGTTTACATCATTCGGTCATGTCACCCAGCGTGTCCTTGTTAACCACTATAACTGTTTGACCTCCATTTCTCTGTTTTGTATCCTAATCCCTCGTCCTTTGCTTCCGTTGGCTCCATACTTGTGCGCAAGCCTGTGATATATATATATATATATATATATGATGTTCAGTTGTTCGCCGAGCTTGGCAATTGTATTGCAAACGTTTCATCACCAATCGAGGTGACATTCTCAATGCAGTAACTGGGTGAGCGCTTACGAGTGTCCTCTTCGTTATATAGGTCACTGAGTGATGTGACGTTGCCTGATTGGCCAAGGTTTGTTCGCCTTGTGCCGATAGGGGATGAGGTGGACGCGAGCAGTCTGACGGCCGGCCGTTGATCGATCAGTCTAAGCGTTACTGTTGTCCTGTCGTGTCACGTGTGATACGACCCACCTTTGCGTTGATTGGTCTTTTTGTTGCATGGGGGTGTAGACTTGATCGATGTCAATGTGTCGGTTGACCGAGTTTTCTGATGAAAGCCAAGCTTTCTAGAAATTCTCTTGCGTGCTTGGCGCGCACCGGATCGTCGACTTTGATGTTTTCGAAGTGGAAGTTGTGTCCTTCTCGGTCCTCGTGGATTGAGATGAGTGAGAGCGCATCGTGTTTTCTGACGGCCAGTTGGTGTTCGTGCACACGAGTTGCTAGTTTTCTACCCGTTTGACCGATATAGTACTTGTGGCAGTCCTTACAATTGATGCGGTAGATCACATTTGTTCGATTTTTGTCTTCCTGTTGCTCCTTGGTTTTCGATAAGATTCCCCTCAGGGTTGTCGTTGGTTTGTGGGCGACTTGAATGTCGTGTGGTTTCGGTATTCTCGTGGTCATTTCCGAAATGTTCTTCACATACGGTAGGGTTATTCGCTTATCCGGTTGTCTCTTTGTCCTTTTGTTTTGCTATGTTCGAGTTATTGTCCGTTTGACAAAGTTGCGGGTGTAGCCGTTGCGGAGGAATACTTGATAGAGGTATTTCTCCTCTTTCTGCCTCAACTTTTCAGTGCTGCAGTGTGTTTTTGCTCTTTCGAAAAGTGTTCGAATGCAACTCCTCTTGTGACACGTTAGGTGGTTGCTCATGTATCCCAGAATTTGATCCGTGTGGGTCTTCTTTCTGTATACTGATGTTTCTAGTGGTCCGGACAATGATCTTGTTACTAGGAAGTCGAGGAATGCCAATTTGTCATTTTGTTCTGATTCCATGGTGAACCTGATATCCGGGAAGATGTTGATGCTGTTGAAGGTTCTGTCCACTTCCGATCGCTTCAGGATCACGAATGTGTCATCTACATATCTAAGCCAGAGCTTGGGCTGTAGTTGTGGTAGAATGGTCCTTTCGAGTTTTTGCATTACGGCTTCAGCAATGAATCCGGAAATTGGTGAACCCATGGGTGTTCCTTTCACCTGTTCGTAGATTTCACCGTCGAATTCGAAGTATGTTTGTAGGCATAAGTCCATCAGCTCGCAGATATATTTGTTATCCAGTGTTTGGTGTATCTGTCGTTCTTCTAGAAGCTCCTTCAGTGTTTCTCTGGCCAGATCGAGGTTGATGGAGGTGAATAGCGCGGTGACGTCGAAGGATATCATTATTTCATCTGCATCAATATTTACATCCTTCAATTTTTCTAGGAATTGTTTGGCGTTATTGATGGAGTGTTCGTAGCCGGCGATAAGAGGTTTGAGTCTTCTCCACAATTCTTTAGCCAGTCACACGTGACACGACAGGACAACAGTAACGCTTAGACTGATCGATCAACGGCCGGCCGTCAGACTGCTCGCGTCCACCTCATCCCCTATCGGCACAAGGCGAACAAACCTTGGCCAATCAGGCAACGTCACATCACTCAGTGACCTATATAACGAAGAGGACACTCGTAAGCGCTCACCCAGTTACTGCATTGAGAATGTCACCTCGATTGGTGATGAAACGTTTGCAATACAATTGCCAAGCTCGGCGAACATCTGAACATCATATTATACCACCCGAGCTACAAAAACAACAATCAACATCGTTGTTTACCAAACTGTCATATATATATATATAATCATTGCTATAAAGATCATAGTTGTGAAGATTCAGCGTAATGTTTGTATGTATTTTTGAATATCTCGTTAATCTTGTTGTTCGCCTTGCTCCACATGGCAGGGCAGTTACGCTACAATGCACTGGTTAGGGTATCTTCATACACAAATCTTCCGACATATCTGAACACGTTTCCTCCTCGTCCCATTCGGTAACTGACTTAACTTTCATGGTTAACCAGATTCTAGCAATGAAAGGCAACCGATCAAAATCGGTCGATAGTCAGAACAATTTTATGTGGGTCAGATCGCCTTGCGAAGGGATGTTCTTGTAAAATTCTTCATAGGTGAATTACAGAAAGTTGAAGAAGTTGTTGAATCCGCTTGGGCTAGTGAGACCTGAATGGTCCATTATGAGTGAGTTCAGTTCAGTTTTTACAGCCAATAACGGTGCACTTTTTGGTTGCCCATTTGGATAAAACAGTAGAATGAAGATTGGAATGTTGAAAGCCAATTGAATCAAAAGATAGAGAATTCATATAGACTGATGTTGCACGAAGAATGAATAGATGCATGAGCGCCACTGCCAGCCATATCGCTCAATGTCTCTAACCATCGGTGACCATAATCTCGGGGTCCCCATCTAGGGAATCTAACGGGATCTATGTAACTCAGTCTCTTGGTTAAGGTTTTCATACCCTCACACCAGGTCTTCGTTTGATAGTCAAGGGAAGCCAGGAGGTGCCCAAGCAGCTGGCTTTGTGGGGCTGATCACCGTCTGGCCTCTGCCCATTGACCTTTGAGGCATGATTGGATCCGCGGCTGTGAGGAGCCATCCTGTATAGCTCGCAGGGTCATGGAGGCACACAAGCCATCACACCACGTCAAGGTGCAGTCTCGTCGCGATGGGTCATGGGTGAGCGCACCCTTCAACTACATACCAATAAACCGAATTTCGACGCTCTTAAATTAGGATCAGTTTTATGCTTTCAAAACTAGTTCCTGTTGTGGTATTCACAACAAGGTATATTTGTATGGATTCGCACCGCAATCGATCGGCATCACAACTATCACCTATCAAAATAAAAGGTAATAATAATAACCGTTTAAGCAGTTTCTCTTGGTGCATGATGGATTGTTTACCTTCCTGCATGACGTTTATTTTAATACTTTTCTTTCTACTTTATTTCGTATGTTCACGTCTTATTGGAAATTACTAAGCATCCGTATTTATAAAATAATTTAATTCTATCGAATTTAATCTTCCCTTTTTGTTTTTCTCTGATGCAGAAGTCGAAGACAGCTGTTTAGATAATTCCAGTCAGGACAGTTTCTCGGGTCACCACGGCCCCCACACTTTGCCCATCGATAATGGTGCTCGACGTTCTGTTGATTCTCCTGCGTTCACCTGTGATCGTCCACGGATCCCCTCTATATCGGTGACTAGCCCTACCTCTTCGCATTGTCGTCTTCGTACAGCGTTGTTGAATTCACCCGGCAGATTGCATACAATACCTAACAAAAGTCCGGGTCCCACACTTGGGCGGTCAAATGTCGTTCGGTCTTTCCCGCAGAATGGCTACAACACTCCCAGATCTCCGACCGAAGTGAATCGCAGTTTGGTTATCTCCAGACGACCGGAACACAACACTAAGTCCAGTTTGGCGAAAGACATAATTTCAAAAATGCCCAGAACTTTCAGTCCTCCAAGACTTGAAAGGATACCCTCCCGTTGTCCTCCCCTGAGCAACCTGACTGAAGCTCACCGATCCTCCTCTTCCCATGCATTGTCCGCTGTAGCCTCGGTTGGTTCAGGATCACAGTTGTCTGTGAACCGACCGCCGTCAGCCGCACCGGCGTTACGTCGTATGTCCAGTGATTCATGTGTTGAACGTACATTTGCTTCACAAAAATCCGTCAGTCAACCGCATTCACCTGACTATCAGCATCGGCGCTCATCCATGCCTATCAGTCCTTGTCGATTGCCAATGAAAAAGCGAAAGTTCGATTGGGATCAGGTCACTTCAGAAGATTTTCAGAAACGAACCGTGTACAGCCCGTATAACATGTCAGAACGTGTCCCGTCCACGTCCAGTGCAACAACTTTAGCTAGTGGGGTAGTAACTCCTACATCATCAACACCAAGGGCCTCAATGGAAACTCAACTGGTTAACGGTGGTTTGACTATACCTACCCCCCTGATCATCGATTGTCCGTTGGACCGAATGGCTTCCTTATCAGAGGACTATAATATGGGTACAAAAAAAGCCGTAATCCCATTGAGCGCACCCCCCAGTGTGCCACCATTTGCTCGAGACAACGCTAGTATCACAGATGATGAAGATCCGGTGGATCATCGTCCTCGGAGTATCCCGTCTATCCTGAGCGCATGTCACATCCCAAGTGTGGTGGAACACACCGGCACAGGAATCAGTCGATTAGCTCAGAGTTCCGTTGGCAACTTATTTACGGAGTGCGCCATTCAAAGCACTCTAGACAAACTAGCAGGTGAGTTTAATTTTTCCCTCTTCCAATCTTAATGTTCAGGTTGATGTATTGCTGTTGATCTACAGCTTGGGGTTGATCATTATTGTGGTAAATCCGTCCTCACCTCATCTGGTTATAATCAGCCAGTGACGGACGAAAGGTGTACAGTGAGCTCATCCATCTAGAACTAAGTTATCATCATTCCTATGACACTCCCAGTCGATTATAAGTCGGATTCATCAATGAACTCCGTAAGTGCACTGAATGTCAACGTTATAATGGGCAAAAGGGGAACGGTTGACCAATCTGTCCTCTTATCATTGCTCTTGGATTCTGTACAACACGGAGGTGCTCAGCAGTCACCAAATTTGCGTACTGAAAGAGTAGTATTTCGTAACATTATGGAAGAGTCGTCTGAGAATATCTGTGACCACACACTTGCTTTACTTTGCGAAAGACTGAGACGGCCTCGTGACGTGTCTATGAGGTGCATCAGGTGCATTCGGGACGGGTGATGTTCCAACGACGATCACTTATCTGGTCATGAGTTTACCTCTTTACACAACCAAGTGTGATATCCAAGACGGTAGATTTCTTGGAGTAGAACTCTTGAATTCTATTCCTTTCCGTTCGTCCACTCCGTCTACCGGGACCACTTTAGAGGCACGAATGAAGCTAGAACTCAGAGTTTAGAGGAATCCTACTATGCTCACTTAACTATCAAGCGGTTGTCGAAATGTTGTTGTCACATGCAAGTAACTTCCTAGGGCCGAAGGTCAGAATGGTGATGGGTGGACCAAATAAATGGAACAGTTTTGCTGAAACCTAGTAGGCTTTTGAGCCAGAGGTGCTGCCGCTTTCGGAAACCCAAATGCCCCACCCCAAGAAATTACCCACCATGAGTTTCTTG